ATTATATCTGGGCCTCTAATGGCAGAGGAAAGAATTATATCTGGGCCTCTCACTGGAGCAGAGGAAGGTGGGAGGAAGAAAGCAGCTGTTTTTAGGAGTTTTCAGTCCCACCTACATTGGCATGTAAGGCAAATTCATGCTTTCTCTGATTAACAGCTCATGTCCTGAGACAAAGGAATAGAGAACAGAAACATGCAACACAATCCATGTGACTGGAAGTAGCCAGCTGGCACCATTTTAGACATCCCTGTGTTTGACAACTCGACTAAGTTTCATCCCCAGTCAAAGCTCTTAGAAAATGCTGATCTTCATCTCCATGTGTCAATATTCATTTGCCTGACATAACACCACTTAGACTTCTACGCTTAGAAGACACTGTTGCTCCTACTCACCACCACCTTCCTCGCTAATACCCAGCAGCCAGCGCTGCCACGTCAGGGATGATGCCCATGAGCACCTCCAGCAAGAGATCCTGAGAGACTGATTAGTCTGTTGCAGAAATGGCAAGTGCACACAGACTTGGGAATATATAGTTTAAGCAGAGAGAACAGGACATAAAAAGCAAGAAAATGTTGTGATGGATTCCTAGGCTAATCTAGGGCAATAAATACATTAACTAAGGACCTCAGACTGGAAACTACAAGTGACCAACCTCAGCAACAGCAGGGACAGCACACAGACATGGATAGCTTGGGTTAGAGATAGGTGACGGTTGAGGACACAGTTAGGGACAGACTTGGGCTCAGGAGCACAGAAGGACTTCAACCGAACGCTTATGTACTAGGAATGAGGCTGGTGATAGTTTTGTGCAGCAAACTCCCAACATGTTTGGAGAAGTGTAGATCCATAACTAGAGAGGATGAAAGGAGTGGAGAACACCATCCTACCATAATGTTCTATCCCCACACAGCTTTGTCTAATAAATCAGTGTTACACTGATGCCTTGTTTTACATGTGACTGCTCCCTTTATGAGCTTTTCTATTTACACGCCTCTTTGTTCCTCCCCGTTCCCCCTTCCCCAGCACATCCCCTCACACGTCTGTACAGCTCTGTCAGTTCCTGCTCCCACCCCAACCCTGGTTCACAGTTTTATCCGTCACAAAGTCCAGGTTGATCTTCCTGGAAGCGGCACCTGTATTTTCTCCATAGCCCCTCAATTATTGCCGCTGGCGAGGCTTGTTTCCTCTCATTGCCTCTGTGGTTGTTCTGTCAGAGCTGTGTCTCTGCGTACATCGTTCCTGATTCCCCCTTTAGCCTTAGTTTCTCAACTCACAGGTCACTGATCTGGCAGTCCTGCTGGAATAAACAATTTCAGAGGAGTCACTATCCTTCCACATACCCTTAAGGAGCAAAACAAAATTATTTTGGTTTGATGTTCAGCCTGCTGCACAACATCTTCGACAGGATATTGGAGTGACACAGAAGCCAGGGACATTCCCACAGGCTGATACCTTGAGTGTGCCTGCAGGCTTCAGATACCGTAAATCTGCAGATCAGGACTGCAAGTGTGTCCTGTGGTCCATAAGCTGGCAGTTGTCTTATTCTGTCCCAAGCTTGAGACTGGTTTGGGGCTTGCCAGCACCCCATAAAGTGGTGTAAGGAAAGTTAATGAGAAAAAAAATCTGCCTCACTAAGTCTTCCTCTTTCTCTATCAGTATGTGCAGACAGACAGAAATAACAGGATGGGATCTTTCTTAAAAAATAATTGTGCACAATTATAAAAAAAAATCTTGTTGGTTAAAGCAAGCTCTTCCAGTCAGGAGCCAAGTGTTGCCTTATTTGGCATTATCAGAGCTGTCTTTGGATTCCTCCATCCTCCATCCTGGCACAGAGTAATGTGAAAAGAACAGGTCAGTGCAGCTGACTCCATACAACCTTAAACCAATCCCATCTCTGAGTAATTAGCAGAGAGATCAGAGCTTCAACACGTTTACAAATAAGAGTAAATTATTATTGACCAAAAATAGAGTGCTTGAATGCTGCGTGGGCAGGATGTTACATATAAAGAGCACCAGCTGAAGGCAACCTCAATCTTTGTTACCTCAGCATCTCACGGTAAGTTCCATCCGCTTCCTACTCTCTGACGACAACATCTCTGCAAAGAAGTGGAATATGTAGGGGCACTTTCTTCTTACTCCTCACTTCTAACATTTTGGGTCATGCTTTAAGTGCCATGCCAAGGTTATATGACCCAAGCCACTCCTGTGTGGTGGCACAAGCCAAAGCAGAAGAGACATGCCATGCCACTCCTTGGGGGTCCTTCTACCAACTTTGTTACCTCCCAGTCCTATGAAAGGCACAGAAAAATTAATGCTGAAGGCAGTTGTAGTTGACTGGGAGAATATATGTCATGTAGCTTGTCTTTTCCTAGACATTAGACTTGTTTTCAGCAGATCACAGTAATGTGGGGAGGAACACAAGACTTTCTGTGGAATTTGGCACTAGCTCAAGAGCTGTAAAGCTCCATGTACAGTTCCAGCTGTTGGGAGAGACTGCACAAGGTGTATAAATATTTGATAGATCATAGGCCCAAGACAATGCACTGGTTTTGATCTAACTCTCTCTGTCCTTTCTTTAACCATTCTACACAGATACTGAAAGCAGATTTCCTCCTGAGCTCTCTGAAGGTAAGGGTTTAATAAATAACATATGGTTTTGCTAATTGATCCTGAGCAATGAGTGAAACTCACCCAGACAATGGCAAGGGCAGGTGGCAAAAGACTGTGTTGTAGAACCAGGCTCACTGAAATGGATATATGCTATTACAATCAATAGAAGCATATTCAGTGTTCTTGGTAGGAAATATTCCATTTATCAGTAAAGAAAAGTGGCAGATACTCAAAATTTAGCCAAGAGGACATAAGAAGCAGCGACAGTAATGTCTTTTTGTGACGTAACCCAGGATTCTGGGATTTATAGACGATTAAAATTCAATCCCTGCCATCTACACAACTTCTGGAAGCCTGAAACTGAGGTTGTGTTCAGAGGCGAGGCTCAAAGTACAATTCAAGAAGGGTCAAAGCTTATCCTGCCTTAAGTCAGTTTCCTCTGGGATCAGGTCTAGAACATTAAATGCTGACCTTCCCTTACCACACAGGTCCTGACACCAGAACAAAGTCCAGGACAATCTTGTCTCCTATCTGATAGACAGATCTGTTTATGGACAAGGAGTCACCTTCACAGGGAGCTGAATATGCACCATCCCCTCCTACATTTTCTGGGGAAGGTTAGTGATTGAGTGACTGGGAGAGGTCACTCGAGCAAAAGAAGGAACCCTCCGCACGTGTGCCTTCCATCCTACTGGCAAAAAACACTCGCTGAAATCGGAGCTGAAATGAGTGAAGTACAGGTTATTCACCCAGAGAACACCTTCTTGTCTGTTCATGAGTGTGTAACGAACTAAATTTTATTATTTCCTATCAAAGACATGTAGTAGCTTAACAGACTGTGCCCCTCGAGAAATTTTCAGGTAAGCTATTGGCATTTTGAGATGCTCTGCTTAACGGTTCCATGGACACTGTAAAATAATTCAACTCTTTCTTTCATGTCATTCTCTTAGACAGGATCTCATAGAAAAAAATGTTGGACTCTATATACATAGAATAATATTTTCAAATTAAGTTAAAGGTTCTAGATTCTGTGCTTTGAAATTCCTGGTATTAAAGGCTCTCGAGAGATGCAGTCCCTCAAAGTCCTGCAAGGTGCATACCCTGCAGTAAATAGATTTTGCTGAGAGAGGTCAGCGCTTGTACAGCAATGGGTCCAAAAGTAGCATTACAAATGCCTTCCATGGTTTTCATCATTTTCTTGCACATAAAACCACTTCATGTTGATTATTTCAGTACTGTGATGCCTTGGCATTATATATCTGAGTTGTTCAATTCTGTCCTTTTATCTTCTTTAATATCACAATGCATCAGACAGCTCATGAAGTAGTAGGAGTTTAACTGTTTTTTTTTGCTAGCCTGTATATTAGCTTGCCTGGGGAAGAACATCCTGTTTATGCTAGTTCTTGCCTAAGTTATTTCTGCCTGTGTTATTTACAGATACTCCTGAATTATCCACACCAGTCCTTCTGACTGTAGCACCAAACAGCTTCTCTTTTTGTTGAAGGTTTTTTACTAGATATTGCTAAAACTGCAAAATAAAATTTAGCATAAAGCAGTTTTCTGAAATATTTCTACTACACAAATCCCTAACTGAATATCTGCTATACATTGGTGCATGCTGATTGTCTTTTAATAACTCCTAACTAATGCTACTCTAAATAATATGTTAAAAGCTGAAAGTTACTTTATAACTGAAATTCTCTGAAGTGTTATATCAAGTACTTATTTTCCTAGATAACACTATGATATTATTACCTTCAATATGCATTATATTTCTTTATTAGCTAATTTGGCTACAGATCTGAAAAGCTCTGTTATATTTGGCTCATGTGCTAAACAGGTTTGGCTTTAGATAGGTGACGATTGACCCTCACAGTTTATTCCAGCGCTTGGTATAGATAGAAAATTTCCCTGCTTGGTACTAAAACAGAAAACAGAAGGGTGCCAAGAATACATTGACTTTGAAATTATGTGTGAGAGCCCACTGGTTAACTTTTGGATCCTACCTGTGTCTAAATTTTTAAATGTCTTCGGAAACTATCCAAGTGGCTTTGTGTATGTGGCTTTGAGAGCTGTGTTAAATACAGCGAGAGAGGCTTTTGAAGACTGCTAGCTTGATACTCCTTCTGCCCTCACTTGGGCAGACAGGCATTCCTTTTAAGGGGGATGTCTTCAAAAACAACACACCTCTGTCGTACAAAAGGCATTTTCTTTACTAGGACTTTCTCAGTGAATACATAAAATGGGGCAGAAGTTAAGTGCTTGACATTGATTGGCTCTCTTCTGCCTTTTATTCTTGGACAATGATCATTTTCTGGATAAATAAATAAATATTACAAATGCATAGGCTCACTAAAACTTTTCTAAATTCTTCCAGAACAACTTCAGCCATGAGTTCAGATGCAGAGATGGCAATCTTTGGAGAAGCTGCTCCCTATTTACGGAAGTCTGAGAAGGAGAGAATTGAAGCCCAGAATCGCCCGTTTGACGCTAAGGCAGCCTGTTTTGTAGTGGATGACAAGCAAATGTATGTGAAAGGTACCATACAGAGCAGAGAAGGTGGCAAAGTCACAGTTAAAACATATGATGATAAAGTAAGTGATAACAACTTCTACTCATACATGATCATCCAGTTCAGGCAGTTCCCTGGCTTAGATTTCTTCTCCTGTTGTTCCCTTCTGGTTTTATCAGACTGTGACTGTAAAGGATGATGAAGTCTTCTCCATGAATCCTCCCAAGTTTGATAAAATCGAGGACATGGCCATGATGACCCACCTCCATGAGCCCGCTGTGCTGTACAACCTCAAAGAGCGTTACGCAGCCTGGATGATCTACGTAAGTACCAGCAGCAGTCTTCCTCTGGGCAGCTCAGGGGAACTGCTCTGCCGGCTGAGGGGAAGCCAACGCGCTGTGTCCCTTCCTCGCAGACCTACTCGGGTCTCTTCTGCGTCACCGTCAACCCCTACAAGTGGCTGCCGGTGTACAACCCGGAGGTGGTGGCTGGCTACCGAGGCAAGAAGCGCCAGGAGGCCCCTCCACACATCTTCTCCATCTCTGACAACGCCTATCAGTTCATGCTGACTGGTGAGTGCTTGGCAGGAATGTGAAACCCTGATATACGCAGGGCTGGCTGCTTGGTCAAGGGAACACTTGGCAGTTCAGGCATCTTAGATGCTGTTCTTCTCATCACCTGATGGCAACAGCTCCCATAGTCCTACAGCACAACTCAAGATTTAACTGCCTGTGGCATCTGAATGATCTCTGTGCTGTCAGATACTGAAGGAAAGGCAGCAGCTTGTTATATGGCTTTGTGCCCACTCACCTAGTAAGGAATGTAAAGATACAGTAAAGAAGGAATGCAGCAGAGAATCTGATTCTGATTAAACTATATTTAAGCCGAGGCCTATACTTAAAGGAAAACAAATAGTATATGGGAAACCTTATAAACAACCATCACTTGGGGTTGGGTTTTGGACTGCTCCACCCCATTGCGCACAGGAAAATCTACACACAGACAAAGGTAGAACTTACCTTACGTGGTTACAAAGTGAGAAATGCAGTTACAGTATAGCTCCTTACCTTGAAGCCAGTAAGTCATGTCTGAGGAACAGAAGCCTTCCACACTTCATTTGATCAGCTCTTTCTGTGCCTTTGTTTTCAGATCGTAACAATCAGTCGATCCTGATCACGTAAGTATATTTTGGTGTGTGTGGCAAAGCTGACAGAGTAGTAAAAATGTTTCCCATTTCCTGTAACTCTGTTTTCTTTTCAACAGCGGAGAATCCGGTGCCGGGAAGACTGTGAACACAAAGCGTGTCATCCAGTACTTTGCAACAATTGCAGTTACTGGTGAGAAGAAGAAAGACCAGCAGCCTGGCAAAATGCAGGTATGTCACTGGCTCTGTCTGTTAGCTTTTGTCCAAGACTGTCCCTGCAGAGCAGAAATTATCAATGTGTAGTTTTGGGTTGCAGTATTATAAAAAGGTAGAAAGTACAGCACAACCAAGGAGTCAGAATGCACAGTCCCAACACACCTACACCCGCTTACCCCTGTTTCCCAGCCCCCATCCCACCAAACACTGGTGGAACTCTACTTAAAGAAACATTCCCTTAATGTAGGAAAGGCTCAAGTCTCAGTTTCTCTCCAGTCTCCATTTACACAGAGAAGTCCTCACAACGGAGAGGAAGATAATGTAATTCAGCTGTGCTGACTCTGTTTCCACATCTGTCCCTCAGTGTCCTATGAGACTGGCCAGACCCACAGCTCGGAGGGGCTGCAGGTGTGAAGAGAGCAGTCGTTTCCCACTGCCATGTGGTTGTGCCACTCTTGTTCCTTGGTTCATTCTGATTAACAGGGGAATTACATGAACTCTGGATTCCGGAGAGATTGTGCTGAAGTTAAGACTAATTTCAATTGCACCAGACAGTAGTTTGCACCGGCTTGTTCTCCTGCATGCGGTCAACGTAACAGCCCTGAGGGGCAGCATAAGAAAAGGGACAGATTTGGGACAGCTTGAAGCACTGGCCTGACAGTTAGAAAGCAACCTCAGAAAGGGTCCTTCCAGGGCAGAAAGCGTGTGCCCTGATGCCCCTTTCTGCCGAGCAGCCCAGCTGCTGCGATCTGATCCCACTGGGGCATTTGCAAGGCGTGGGCTTCACTCCCGAGCAGAGCAGGCAACAAACATCCCTGTGGCACAAGTGTGTGTCGACGCGGTCTGTGCGATGGTATGTGCACCCAAGCGGGTGACACGTGTCAGCGTGTTATTTGAGCACTCAAGGGCACAGTGGAACCTAAGGAGATTCCAAGGCTGAATATTCTTTCCACACTCAGAGGCAGGTGTCTGTGATTGATGGGTTGTTATGGCCAAGTACTCTTTCCATCAGCACCATTTCAGAATCTCCTGGGCTCGGCTTTCAACAGCTGCTCACTATGCCAGGACTGATCTCAGAAAAACTTTGAGACAGCTGAGAGATGTACTGACTATGTTTGATATGAAAATCACCTGGCTCTCAGATGGACAGCCACCTGTTCTGCCCTCTTCTGGGTGTTTTTACTGAGTACCCTAGATTTTTAATATTCACCATCTCTGTAACACTAGTGCATCTTCACAGGGACACTAAATAAAATACTTAGGTTGTAGTTCTGTGTAGCCCAGCATCCTCTCAGATGCAGGCTCAAATGAGATGTCAAGCAAGAATATATGAGTAAGGTAAGCACATAACTGCATGTCCCCAGAATATTGCCTCAGCCTCCAGCACTTTGTCAGTCTGGAGACAGGACTCCAGAACGAAATTGTGTAAAAAATTGCTGTGTCTTCTTCCATGCTGCTCCCCATGCATGATGCTCCCTTTTGAGTTTCCTGGTCATAGCTGTGCACAAAAAATAGGTTTGGTGTTGATGTAGTCAGCTGCACTGACACACACAGGTCTTCTCTTAAACAGGGAAGTTCATTTAGAAAGATTAAAGATACATGTGAAAAGGTATTACTTTAGCGAGCTGAGATTTTTTTATTTAAAAAAATAAAAATATCTAGAGCTTCATATGCTACTGTGTTGCCTTAATTAAAATTTAAAAAAAAGGGAAAAAACTGCGGGCTTCATGTGCTACTGTGTTGCCTTAATGTTACAGGGTCCACCTTCATGGTGGACTAATAAAAGCTAATTTAAACCGGTTGTGCCATCTGCAGACCGGATTGGGAATGGCATTCTCTCCACTGCAAGATGCTAAAGGCTGCCCTGAACACCACGTACAAAGATGCAGCCACTTCAGCTGTGCTGCTCATCTTTCATCTGGATAAAAAGTGGTTTATTTTTGTCTGATTCTTTTTTTTCCATCTCTGTCTTGGAAATTATCCCTGGCAACACTTTCATGCCCTGACTACACAGGAATCAATCATGAGTAGGTGAGATGCTTTGAGAAACGCTTTGCTCTATCATTCCAAATAAGCAAACGGTGACCCTGCTTCCTTGCTCGTATTCCACAGAAAACGAGAGACATAATGCCACAGAATCTTTTCTCTTCCTATATTTTTGCAGTTAACAAGAGTGATACAACATCAAAACTTCACACACTGATCATTCCTTCTTCAGTCATGCAGCAGAAAACTCAGAAAGTTCCTGTTGTTTTTTTAAGTTTGGTATTTGAGTCTCAGTCTTTGTCCATGTCCCACTCTCCTTTTTGAACCATGTCTGGAGATGTAGTTCTGCATTCAGAAAGGCTGCTGGTTGTTTGAATGCAATTGCAGAACTTTATGCTCTCTCTTGCTAGGGGCTTCCTATTAAAGGCTGTGAGTCCTGAGCTCAAGTAATCTCCAGAAAAAAAATTCCCAGAATTTTTACACTTTCTTTAGCTGTCATGGCCTTTGTGAATGGGAATGTGGAAACACATCTCTCACACAGATTCCAAACTCCCTGAACTCCACTGTACTGATTCTGCATACGATACCAAACATATGACAGCAGGTACAAGAAGCAAACAAATTACAAACCCATCTTTCAGCATGCTCCCTTTGAAAGCAATCACAATACTCAGGAGTACTGCCTGATTTAAAAATCAGCTCAACTTTAGGTTAAATTCACATATGAAGTGTAAAAATTATCTATTTGCAGTATCACCTTTGCAATATGTATTATCAATCAACAGTGCAGTTTGGTAAGAAGTGTTTTCTCTGCTAACTAGGGAACTCTGGAAGATCAGATCATCCAGGCCAACCCACTGCTGGAGGCTTTTGGCAATGCCAAGACTGTGAGGAACGACAACTCCTCACGCTTTGTGAGTTCATCTCAGATGTGTTGGAACGCAGGCATCTGATATGTCTCATTCATTGATCACTCTAACCTGTGGGTTGATCTCTACTGCTTGACAGGGAAAATTCATCCGGATTCACTTTGGAACAACTGGCAAACTAGCCTCTGCGGATATCGAAACCTGTGAGTTGGAACAAGTCAGTGCCTGTAGAATTTGTGCATTTATGATCTCAAATTTACCAGGAGACTAACATCATCTCTCTTTTGGTTAGATCTTCTGGAGAAATCCCGAGTGACCTTCCAGCTAGCCAGTGAAAGAAGCTATCATATTTTTTACCAGATAATGTCCAACAAGAAGCCGGAGCTCATTGGTGAGTGCCACTGGTTCTGGTCTTGGCTCAGCAAGTGCTTTCTCTTCCCCCTGTGATCTGCCCCGATGCCACCAAAGGCACCCTGTATACCCGCAGATCTCCTCCTTATTTCCACCAACCCCTACGACTTCCCCTACGTGAGCCAAGGAGAAGTCACTGTTGCCAGTATTGATGACAGCGAGGAGCTGCTGGCGACCGATGTGAGTGCCGTGGAACACGGGTGGGCAGGGAGGTGGGGAGGCAGGGGAGAAACCCCACCTTCCCACCCCAGCACACGTGCCTTTTAACAGCACCTTGAGATTCACCTGTTGTGCTTCTCCACTCTTTCACAACTTGGCCTTTGCCTCTGCAGAATGCCGTGGACATCCTGGGCTTCAGCCCCGACGAGAAGGTGGGGATGTACAAGCTAACGGGGGCCGTCATGCATTACGGGAACATGAAGTTCAAGCAGAAGCAACGGGAGGAGCAGGCGGAGCCCGACAGCACAGAAGGTAGTGTTGACTGCAGAGTTTGCTTGTGAACTGCACCAGGAGACAAGCCAGCAACGCTGTCCCATGAAGCGTACAACACTTGGAGAATGATTTTCTCTCCCACAAACTATTTTTTTTAGTTTTGTTGCAAATTACGCAAAGTCAATTATTTAATTTATGCTCCAAAAGGAAACAGAGATACAGAGCCAAAGCATTGCTGCAGCCCTCCAGGTGTGCTGCAGGCAGCACTGCCTGTGCTGGGGAGAAACATTCTCTGTGGAATTGGAGAGGAGATTCCCTTGACCACAGGTGCATTTGAGAAGTGCAGAAAGTAGGGACTTTGTAACATAAACACACTAGAGAACCAAGACACCTTTTTATTTTGTCTTTTGAACTCGTTTGCTGTCTCTGATCCTAGTGGCTGACAAAGCTGCCTACCTGATGGGTCTGAATTCTGCTGATTTGCTCAAGGCTTTATGCTATCCCCGGGTGAAAGTTGGAAATGAATATGTCACTAAAGGACAAAATGTCCAACAGGTACCTAGACAGCTGACCAGCTTATCAATTTGTTCAGACAGTTCTTTCAACTTCAGAGCTAACTCAACGTCCATTACTGCCATGTCTGTGTTTCTTCAGGTGTACAATTCAGTGGGTGCATTGGCTAAGTCAGTCTACGAGAAGATGTTCCTGTGGATGGTTGTTCGAATCAACCAACAGCTGGATACCAAGCAGCCCAGGCAGCATTTCATTGGTGTCCTGGACATTGCTGGCTTTGAAATTTTTGATGTGAGTTACAGTAAGTATGTTTGCCCACCGATGACTTTTCCAACGTAACGGGAATTTTTTTCATATTTTGAATTTGCAGTTCAACAGCCTGGAGCAGCTGTGCATCAACTTCACCAACGAGAAACTGCAACAGTTCTTCAACCATCACATGTTCGTGCTGGAGCAGGAGGAGTACAAGAAGGAAGGAATTGAGTGGGAGTTCATTGACTTTGGGATGGACCTGGCTGCCTGCATTGAGCTCATTGAGAAGGTAATCTTTTCATTTTAGGAGAGCAGATTTCTTCCATGGTAATTTAGTACAGGTACTCTTAACAAATTAACATATTACTGTTGAATGACCCTCTCACATAAGAAGAGTCAGTTGATAAACCCAAAGCTTTCGGAATGAAAGGCTGCCTCTGCACAGGCAATTATTTCGTGATCAACACGGCTGGGCTGGAAGGGAGAAGGGGAACATGATGTTAATCTGGTGACTTTACCAGCAAGGTGAACCTCAAGTCTTACTCCTTGCAGTAATGGACAGAATTAAGTTCTTGGTATAGTGACACAACTCTTTCTGACCCTTGTGTTGCTGCCCACTGTTACGGCACTGGGGATCTTAATGGGAATTATCCCCTCACTGCTACAAGCCAGTGTCCAGTGGTTGTGCACAGCACTTATACATCGTGTGCAAATCCAGTGTGCACGTACCCAACATCTTCCTCCTCAGGAGCAGAGAGGTATCTCTCCCAGCACTATCATTCATGCCCAGTGCCCAGTGACTGATTCAGCCATCCCACATGGATATTCACTGCTTAATATTCATACTCATGGGCTCTGCCTTTTCACACAGGCCAACCTTGCTAACCTGCCACACCTCCCACCACAGAAAAGCATCTACAGGCAGCGCTACCATTCACAGCTAGTGCCTGTTGCCTATTGCTATATTTAACACCCAAAATCTACTCCCACTGTTCAGTGCCCACACATTTTGTGTCCCATATCTATGCAATATAGAGTATTAGAGCCAGGGGAATCAGAACACCTACAGTGATCTAATGCAGTCTCTTCTGCACTGACAGGAAACAAGTGCGCTTCTAGCTCTAATGCAGTCTCTTCTGCACTGACAGGAAAGAAGTGCTCTTCTAGGATGCAGCTCTCTTATAAAATATGTTCTGTTAGTGATTTAACGACTCTTATAAAATATGTTCTGTTAGTGATTTAACAACTGGACGTGGCACTTAAGGAGATGGTTTAGTGTTAGGGTGATGTAGGACTGTAGGTTGGACTTGATTATCTTCAGGTCCTTTCCAACCTCGATGTTCCTATGATTCTAGGATTCTGTGAAATTCTGAGACAAATTAAAAATCTATGAACATTCTAAACTGTCAGATTATTGCCATCTACACTCCATAGAAGGTGAGGAAAATCTGATCCATCATGCACATTCACTGGAGCCAGAACAGGAGTTCTTAGATATTAACCTATGCACGGTCCTGAGGAGCCATCAAATTAAGCTCACACTGACCTTATGGCTTGTAACAGACACATGCAACAGCATCAGTCCCACAAACACAATGCTCCAACCTACCTTCTAACAACGTAGGATAAAGATGATCGAAACAATTGATTATAATACATAGCCTTCCCTTCAATGATGCATGTAAACACTATTGTCAAGCTGCTACATTCACTGGTAGTAGCTTGAGCAACACAGACTAATTATAGCCTGCCAGATTATTACAGTAACTAGTGATGTATTGTGCAGTACAGACTGCAATCACTGAAACAAGCCACAAATCATATTCAAGGTGGCATTTTATTTACTTTTCCTCTTCCCATCGCTTACTTTCTTCATGTATTCATATCTCTTCCAGCCCATGGGCATCTTCTCCATCCTGGAAGAGGAGTGCATGTTCCCCAAGGCAACTGACACCTCTTTCAAGAACAAGCTCTATGACCAGCACCTGGGCAAGTCCAACAACTTCCAGAAGCCAAAGCCTGTCAAAGGCAAGGCTGAGGCTCACTTTTCACTGATGCACTATGCTGGCACGGTGGACTACAACATCTCTGGTTGGCTTGACAAGAACAAGGATCCCTTGAACGAAACTGTTGTGGGGCTGTACCAGAAATCATCCTTGAAGCTGCTGTCCTTCCTTTTCTCTAACTACGCTGGTGCAGAAACAAGTAAGTGACGATTGATAAGGCAAGAATCAGCTAGATTCTACTTCTGCCTCTCCTCTCTGTGGTATACTCTCACCTCTCTATCATTCCCTAATGTGAACTTGTCCTTGTGTGCACCCAGATATGCAAAAACTAAGATACCATCATGCAGAACTGCTGAAATCACCACTTTCATGTGATGCAGAAATAAAACTCAGCAAGTGCAAAACAAAGTGTCAGGAGGTGTATGTTTCCTGACTTACAGTGCTGTGAATCATGTGCGTGGTTACTCATCTCTAGGCAAGTGCCAAATATGCATGTGAAGTGCAAGCACTTTACGATTTAGAAGTCCTCTAAGGGCACTAGAGAGCCATCCAACTTTTTTGTGGCTGAAGGGCTGAAGACCATCAAGTTGGACAGTCAGTAGGTTTGCCTTAACACAAATGTTCACACAGACTTTTGCACAAGAAAATCCATATTCCGGCAGCCTGGATGCTGGGCACGCAGAAGTGGCAGTATGCAGTAGTAGTCAACTCAGCCATCAGGCATATGGACAGCAGGGTTCGAAGCTCAAGAGGGCTGCACAGGGACTTTGCTGCGGTTCAGTTTGGCTGACGTAACACATGTCTGAGCAAGCTCCTAGGAAATACTGAGGATGAGTCAGCTGTGGCCCACCAATATAAGGAAGGGGAGAAAAAAAGATTGTGGAGATAAAATTTTGGTTAAGGTATGAAGTTCAGTGCACAAATACTCCATTTAAGTCTTGATTTGATTGCCTTCAATGTTGAAGCAAATACAAAAATACTCTGAGCTGCTTGGACTTGCATTCCTGAGACTATAATTTGCTTCCTGCATTGGGGTTGCCAGAATGCAGAACACTGGATTAGGAGATATTTGGTTTTTTAAGATTTCACTGCACTGAAGAATGGGTGTCCACTGATGATCTTTTCATCTAATTCAAAAAAGTAATAATTGGGCTGTGTCTATAAGTAAAAGCAATGTGATTGGTAGTACAGAGTACAGTTACAAAACTTATGTCAGGCCATAGTGTTTCATACCACCAAAGCCACACACAGTATGGTGCAACCTAAATAACGCATCTGAGACCAAATAAACCATGCACCGATCAACAACCAACTAGCAGCACTTCACTAAATCTCTCACGCAGCAGTGGATCAGTATTTAAAATTAAAAATTAATTATTTTATTGACTCATGACCAAAGAAAGGAAGATGAGGCTTATAAAACACATTGCTTTCTCTAACCATTAACCTCCTATCTGCTTTTTCCAAGGTGATAGTGGTAGTGGCAAGAAAGGTGCTAAGAAGAAGGGAGGCTCTTTCCAGACAGTGTCCGCTGTGTTCAGGGTACGTGAATTTCCTTCTAAATGAGCAATGCTTCCACAAGAATGATCTCAGAGCTGGAACACCTCTACTGGAAAGAAAGAAGGAGAGAGTTGGGTTGTTCAGCCTGGACAAGAGAAGGCTTCAGGGAGATCTTACTGCAGCCTTTCAATATACAAAAGAGGGCTTATGAGAAAGACAAAAACTATTTACAAAGGCCTGTAGTGACAGAACAAGAGATAATAGTTTTAAACTGAAAGAGGGACATTTTAGACTGGACATAAGGAAGGACTTTTTTTAGAATGAGGATGGTGAGACACTCAACAAGTTGCCCAGAAAGTTGTGGATGGCCCCTCCCTGGAAGTGTTCAAGCCAGGCTGGATGGGGCTTTTAGAAACCTGGTCTAGTAAAAGATGTCCCTGCCCATGTTTGACTCAGTGATCTTCAAAGGCCTGTTCCAGCCTAAACCGTCCTGTGATTCTATAACTCCTTGACATTTGAATAAGAATGCAAAAGCTTTGTAGCTCAAAGCTCAAACCCATGTTTGGTTCTATCACAGGAAAATCTAAACAAGTTGATGACAAACTTGAGAAGTACCCATCCTCACTTTGTGCGTTGCCTGATTCCCAATGAGACCAAGACACCTGGTAAGCCTGTCACTACGCTCTCAAGACATGGGACTGTCGGGAATTGGCCTGCTTGGCTTCCACACCAGCTTCTTCCAGAACAGCTCCCTCTGCATGTGAAGCTCTTAGGGGGGTTGGTCTACTGGACAGTGCCCAAGTAAAACTCCTTGTATTGTTTACCCTGACAGTAGAATTTTGAGCACTACATGGTCAATGACACTTTACCCATCTTTGTTTAATGTGTGTACAGAGCTGAAGACTATAAAGATGGGACTGATTACAGCTGATAAAATTGTCTGTTGAGGGTAACCGCATTAGCAAATCCTTAATAAATGCCTAGTTTTAAGCAATAGTGTGTCACTCAGAACTGTTGGGTTCTGCCCAAGACCACTTACCAGTTTCTAAATATTCAGTGTTAGGATCTGATTCACTGAGCTGGAGGACTGTCAAAGAAACCATATATCATTTGTACAATTCCACATACAAGCTGCTGGGTCCTGCCAGCACTTGGAAATCATTTTTGTATGAAGCTACTTTTTTTCCTTTATTTAATTAAATATTAAACTCTCACAAAGGTTTTGGTCACCGAGAACAGTCAATCTGGGGAGTATTTTCATATGGTCATTAAATTCAAGTACTAGGGGAGAGACTTGCCTGTGTGGGTCTTAAGAGTTTAATCATTATGCAGTCTGGTAGTGGTAGCATGATAAGGTACATACTGGTAGAATGTAGTGGATGCAACAGGATTACTAGGAAAAGGAGCTTAGCATCTATTTAATCTGCTCAGGAAACAGAAGACCAATTTCAGAACATTTATTTCCTTTCTTATTTACGTCTCTCTGTGTAACCCCAAAGACCACAAGCAGGATTTAAGCAACACACACATGTATGACATTTGCATTTCAGCTATTCATCTAAACTCCTTTTATATTTGGTGGAGAGAAGCTGGCATTTTAAGGTATGACTCATCTGGCACCTTTTATATATCTATCTTAGGATGCGATGAATCACATCCTAGAAGAAACTGTTTGACTCCACTGACGATAAATGAAGCCCAAATGGAAATGTCCACGCTTCATATCCTAAAGTGAAGAAAGGGGAATCCCACTGGGGTCTTGAGAGTCGAGAAAGTGTATGGGAGAATTAAGGAAAACTACTAAAATAGAAAAGCATATTTGAAGGAATTACTTTGTGAGATACAGCTGTCATTTTAGTGTTCAGTCAGTTGTTTTGACAGAGGTGACTCAGAGGGAATGTTGACATTTTCCTTTTAAGAAAAGTAGTACTGTGTGAGTGAAATAAGGATGATGAAGTGAAGGAAGAGAAACTGGGTAACTTCTGAGTTTGGCTGGTTTTAGGCTGCTTATGCTCAACTTTTCTAACAATTCTTTGGGTAGATCTTTATTGATTACATTGAAAAGATAAAGTTAAGGGTATGGACCACTCTAATTAATGTCTGCATGACAAAGTGATTCAAAGAGGGTTTCACTCGGCCAGATGTACTTTGTAATACTTGGGAGCAAGACCTGGAAATACAGTTGATCATTATATCCAATAGATATTATAGGAGGAGAACGATAATTTTAATCAACTGTTCTCTACAGGCACAGTGACAGCTTTAAGCAACCTGCTTATCCACTCCTATCTAGCTATCAAATCTAATCAAGTTTTAGTCAATGCTTGCATGCTAGGTCTAAAGTCTAATCTTACATAATGTGAAGAGCTGATTGTCTGGATGGTACTGCACTCTACTTGGTGCAATCTCTAACTATAACCAATGAGGGTGCTGGTGCTCTTGAAGATTTTTCAGCTGGCCTCCTAAAGCACTCTCCTGATGTTTTTGAGTAACACGGCCTTAGGTCTTCGAGCCACTGGCAATTCCCAAGCACTGCCAGCCCTAGCATTCTTAGTAGAGTTGAGCTCACTGAACAAGGCAACTTGTGTGAACTCAAGGAATGTTCTATCTTCACTTCCTGCATATTTAATCGAGTACTGCGTGAATTTTACCTAAAAAGGGAAATCATTCTGGAACGCTAATATACCATAGGGAGATTCTTTGGAAGAAGATGAGAATCATGATAGATGTATTTTGTTTAAGGTGAAATGGACCATTACTTGGTGATGCATCAGCTGCGGTGCAACGGGGTGCTAGAAGGCATCCGAATTTGCAGGAAGGGGTTTCCAAGTAGAATCCTTTATGCGGACTTTAAGCAACGGTAGGTCTTCAGTTATTACTGCCTGTTAAGATAAGGCCTCAATAAACTTACACCACCAGTGACAATTGCACTGACATCATGGAGAGACACCATCTGAAGCAGACTAGATCAGTGGCATTTGAGGGAAGCAAGTCATTAATATGGTCTTAGGTCACTCCAGTGTTTCTCTCTTTGATCACATCAGAGATTTCTTAATTCATCAGAACCAATATAATTTCCATTTTGTGCTCAATACCCAATGATTCAAAGAGAGGCAAAATGCTTGTAGTATAAGGAATTAAGTGGCATTGTCGACTGCTCTTTGTAAGTCTCCCAGAGTATAGATACAAAAACAATACGCATGCTAAGGATTCCACGGTACAAATTGTGAAGACTGAGAACTGTGCAAGATCTATATTCCCTTTGGAATATAGCTGATTTTTGTTAGCAGTTCTAATTCATTTTTAACTTTAATGTGAGTAGCGTTCCTCTGATCAATGAGACAAGATGAGAAGAGGTTGGCACATTCTCACTATGTTCTTCCTAATTCCTGGACCTGCAGACACTCTTAAGTATGCACATTAATTTTGTATGTAACAACATACTGCGTTGTTACACAGCCAACAGATTCCTCTGAAGTGCAGACGTGGCCCCTTGTCATCACGTTGTGTTCAGGCAAGACAGCCTACATTTCAGATGGCATATTCAATCACTTTCAGATAGCTCAGCTCTCATATATTTTAAGATATGTGATGGATCCTATTTTCTTCACCCTGTTTGCAACTAGTCCTTGCAACCTGTCTTACCACAGGTACAAGATTCTGAATGCCTCAGCCATTCCAGAAGGCCAATTCATCGACAGCAAAAAGGCTTCAGAAAAGCTTCTTTCTTCCATTGACGTTGATCACAACCAGTACAGATTTGGCCACACCAAGGTAAAGTCCTTGTGGAAGAGGGGGTATAATTAATGGCAAAAGATTTAGTTCGTTGAATGTACTTCTTGCATATGAAATCAGCCTTCACGATGATTAGAAACAAAGCACAACACTAACGAGAAAGTGTACAAAAAACTGAACTGGTTCTGGTGTTAGATATGAGGGGTAGCACCGTCAGCCCTGGGAACACCACTCTACCAGAATGAGCCAGTGCGGCTGCAACTAGAACTAGTGTTGCCCTTTTCTCCTGCCAGCTGCACTCCTTTGTTTTGGTGCACGTTAGACTGGCTCAGGCAAGTTTGGACAGTCAGAGTTTTCAGGGGATTTAGGCACAGTCACAAGTCTAACTTCCATATCCAAAGCAGTGTCAGGCAAGACACTGAAGCTCTGATCAGCAGAACCACGGCAGTAGTATCTCTGGGCAAAACCCAGTCACCTACACTACTGAAGAGACATCACTCTCTACAACTCCCCGACAGGCAGCTGTAGTGAGACAGGTGTTGGCCTCTTCTCCCTAGTGAATAGCGATAGGACAGGAGGGAATGGGTTCAAGTTGTGCTAGGGGAAGTTTAGAATGGATATTAGGGAAAACTTCTTCACCGAAAAGGTGGTGAAGCACTGGAATGGGTTGCTGAGGGAGATGGTGGAGTCACCATCCCTGGACGTGTTTAGAAAAAGGCTGGATGTGGCACTTCAGGAGATGGTTTAGTGTTAGGGTGGTGTAGGGCTGTAGGCTGGACTTGATGATCTTAAGGTTCTTTCCAAACCTGATGTTTCTATGATTCTATGATCATCATGTGCGCTTCTCAAGCTTTCTGTCAGTTTACAGAGCAAATCTTGAGCCTGACATAGAAAGGTAAGGTACAATGAAGAGAGAGAGTAAGATATATTACTAAATTGAAAGTTAACTCTTTGTTTTAATAACTACAGATGAGTTTTGATAACTGCTATAGATATTTCCCATCCCAGGCATCAAATAACCCTGCAATGATGTGGTTAGATCATACATAAAGTGATTTGTCACGAATCACAGGAAAACTGAGGATAGGCATACCAACACAAAATTTCTCTAGCTGTTAAACTGTTACTCTGCAGACATTTCTCCTGTACTGCCCTGTGCTACCCTGCATCAGCTGCCAATGGTCACGTATCTGCCTAAGACTCAAACTATCTGACCCTCTTTTATGTTCTAGGTGTTCTTCAAGGCAGGTCTCCTGGGACTGCTAGAAGAGATGAGAGATGAGAAGCTTGTGAGCCTCATCACTCACACACAAGCTATGTGCAGAGGGTACCTCATGAGAATTGAATTTAAAAAGATGAATGCAAGAAGGTAATGTAAGAAAATACTAACAAAGTACCATGTCAGACCAAAAATCCAGCAACACAGTACCTGTCCTAGGCAAAAAAAAAATAAAAAATAAAAAGTGCATCCTTGGGAAAAATCCTTAGAAAGACTAGGGGAAACAGAGCATGCACAGACTAATAGTTTCCTTGTTACAGCCTCCCAAATTCTGGCAATGGCTATTTAGCAATTGGACCACGCATCTGGGCCATGATATTTAGTATTTAACAGTGCCCCTTTTCTCCAGGAATGCACCTAGCATTTCCAGCGTTTTTAGAGCCCTGTGACAGAGATGGCCAACTAAACAAGTGCTAAGGCTTGTCTGCCTTGAACACATGGTCCAATACTTCCATTGGATCACACACGTTTTGTAAGGAATGGCATATAATCACTCTCTGCTCTCCTTTTTCTTTCATGGCTCCATCATCTAAGATGAACAATTCTGGCTTGTTCAGAGAAAGTATTCCATACCCTTTTCCTTTCAGCTCTTTCACTTTGAGATGGGATGAATCATGAAAATTTTAGAGTGTGGGAGTGGCAAAATTGGGCAAGTCAAGCAAATTGTCTCAAGTGTTGTTGACAAGTGAAAGCTTTAGGGGGAGCAAGGATTGCATTAATGTATAGGATGCTCTGCCAACCAGCTGCTTTTATTTGTAATGCTCTGCAGTATATATTTAGCACAGGGGCTTCCTGAGCCAGGAATAGTATCTCAGAATTCAATTAATCTTACCGGATTTCTCTGCAAGGAATTGTCTAATATTCCCTTGAACTGTGGACATCAACAATGTATTTTTGCATTCAATACCATAAGAAGATGTCCTTTTTGTTTTCAGTTTCTGTCTTAACACTTTCTAATATGATGTTTGCAACTCTTTCTTATACCCAGACATAGTTATTGTTCATGCTACTGAACCCACCATTCTGAAATCAAGGGCCTAGAAATGACTCTTTAATAAAAGCAAGGGAGGTGAGGAAAAAAGTCTTATGCAGAAGTTCCTCCAGGAAAACACTGATACTGTACGGTGTTTTTCCAACCCAAGACTCACCAGCCTCATAAACTGTGTATTTGTGTGTTTTCAGAGAATCCATTTATATCATCCAATACAATGTTCGTGCATTCATGAATGTGAAGCACTGGCCCTGGATGAAGCTGTACTTCAAGATGAAACCGCTGCTGAAGAGCGCTGAATCTGAGAAGGAGATAGCCAACATGAAGGAGGAGTTTGAGAAAACCAAAGAAGAGCTTGCAAAGTCTGAGGCAAAGAGGAAAGAGCTGGAGGAGAAAATGGTGACCCTGTTGCAAGAGAAAAACGACCTGCAGCTTCAGGTTCAATCTGTGAGTAGCCTGCCTTTCCAGATTCACTCCACTTCTCCTTATGCTGTTG